TCTCAATCCATCTCTGCAGAGTCCTCCTGGGAAATCTCCCTCCTCCACCCTGGCGCACCTACGTTTTCCTAACCATGCTATTTCACAAGAGAGAGACTGAAATGGGCAAGGAGACGTGGTAGCAACACCTGGGAAACAATTGTAATACACAGCCTAAGAACCACGTGACAGTAAACGTGCTTGGACTGAGAGAGGGGAGGAAAGGAAGACAGCAGCTCACAGACAGACCTCTGGCTCCAAGATGTGGGACTTATAGACTTTTAGGATATCAACTGTTCTTTTAGTAGCTAAAGATAGACTCTAGTCAACTCCTCAACAAGGGGACAGATGAGGCTTACCATTCCAGTTCTATAGAGGGAAATAAATAGCACTGAGATATCATGAGCTCACTATTAATAGCTGCAAAAATTCTCAAATCTTGTTCTGATCCATACAAATGAAGTCATGCTAGCCAAAAACAGAAGGAAAAATTTAAGAAGAGACATAAAATCCTAGCTTTTGGATCTCCTTTAACTTATATCAATGTTCTCTGAAGAACAGAAAACCTGTAATGTGTTATTAAGACTTAGGATCCTGAAGCTAGTTATGGGTACAAAGCATTTTTTAACAAAAGAAATAAGATTGTAAAAATAAAGTGCCATTTATAATTCAATCTCTATACTGTTGAGATGTTGCTTTTTAAAGGACGATGTTACAGAATTTAGGTCCTGCTGGGACCAAGGACCTGGGTTTCTGGGTTCAGAATGCTCTTTTTTTTTTTAAGTTAACAAAACTTGTATTAACAACTTTGTTTTTTTTAACAAATGGCATAAATTGCATCATTTCCATATGGCAGAGGAGGACAATGTAACTACCATCCAACCTGCCCCTGCTGACGCTAATGCCTACAAAGCTCCAGGAACCACAGAAGAGCACCTGACTACGTTTTTACTTGTTTGTTAAAAAACGTAAATGCATGTATGTATGTATGTATGCATGTATGTATTTTGCACACATTTGTAGTTTGCTGGGGACCAAACTCTGGCCTTCAAGCACTGTTCTACTGCATTAACTCCTCCACTGCAGAACTATGTTTTAATTAAACAGATGTCAATATGAAGACAAAGATGTCAAAATGTCCACCACTCCATTTCCTAAACACAGTGCAGTAGTGTGCTCAGGCAGACACTACTGATGCCCTCCCGGGGCCACATGGCCATCAGCCATTACGAAGGAGGTGGCTGGAAGGACAGAAGGACTGACACTGATCAAGATGCATTGTACTCAGAAACTGACAAATGCAATTGACAAATACTTAAAGATAAGAAAAAAATGGTATATAATTCCTTTCTTTTTCCAACAGAACGAAGCCTGGGGCGTACACGGGCCTCCTTGGAAGGATGCCCCGTGGCCTCGGTGGGCACAAAGTCAGGTAACACACCCAGGTCAGTCAGTTCTCAGCCGGGTCGCAGACTGATTATGGACTGAAACTTTATCTGACTCAAAAGAGCCTTCTGGAGTCAGGAGCGCTCCTAGGACAAACGGGCCCCAGTGTTCCGCCCTGTCTGACGGTGCGGCCAAAGACACAGCGTGACCGGTGTTTGGCTATTTCATGTATAAGCCTCGTTGCACTCGGTTCCTTAACTCGGTCCAGAGGACGACATGCTTTCAGCGACTAAGATTCTGGCCCGTAGGAGCCTCGCCGCCTGTGCTCGGGAGAGTGGCCACCTCCTTTTCCAGCCCAGATCCGACTTGCGCCACGGGCGCAGGCCCGGGCACCGCCTCCTGCGCAGCACACGCGTTTAAATACTTTCTGCAAACAACTTGAGTCTAAGCAGGGCTTCCTACGGAAACACTGCGAGAAAGGCACAGAAAGGGAGAAGCTAATCCCAACCCCTTTCCACTCACGAGCGGGAAAGCACAGCGCCCCACCGCGAGAAGAAGAGCCACCCTTTTCTGAACCTAAGCGCAGCACCCAGCGGCTGGTGCAGCGCCCTGGACGCTGCCGCAGACACGCTCCCCCCTCCCCCGCCCGGGGAAACGTGGCCTTTCTCACCAAGTTAAATGGCACAGACCCGGGACACGCTGGGACACGCTCCAGGGCCTGGCTCGGGCCTGGGAGATGGGGGTGGAGGGGGGATTGCGATGGACCGGCTCGGATTCCCCGGACATCGAAGACGCCATCCGTGAACCAGGAGGCCCGGGACGCTCCTCTCCTTGCGCTGGCCCTGCGCTCATGGAGGCTAAGTGTGAGTCCACGAGTACCAAACCCTTCCACTGACTCAACAAAGCATCGCAGTAGCGGGGCCACTGGCCACGGAAGCTCAAAAATCTGGCCACCAGACTCCCACAGAGCCTATTCTGCGCAGAAAGGGCCGTTACATGCAGCAGTTCTCACACACCTAATGAGGAGGACCGCAGGCCAGCTGTTTAACTCTGTAGGGAAGGCCTGAGCCATAGGCCCGCATCAGGAAATGCCCGCCGGATTCCAGATCTGCTCTTTCCAACTGAAGGCAGTCCTGACTCCCCAGAGAAGAAGCCTCTCTTCTGTAGTTAGGCCACGGGATGGCATCAACCTCAGAACCAAAAAGCTTCAGTCTCAATGTCCACACAAGGAGAGCAAACTGTACCTTAGAGTTTAGGACCATCCCAAAGTCCAATCCTTCATGGACTGGTACGTTCCTACCTAATCAACCGTAATGGGGATTAGTACTGGAGTGGAAGGTGGGACTAAAAAATAAAAAAAGGACTACAATGAAGCACCAAGGAAGAGTCCGTACAGACAAAAATTAGGAGGCTCAAGGTTCGAGGCACACCCCGTCCAGCAGTTAGCGAGACCCAAACTCAGTCTGGGCATGTAATCTTGTTACTCAACAGGTGTAATGGGGAGGATTTCATTCCAAGACTGGTCCTGAGCAAAAAGCAAGTGTAACGAAAGCAAGAAATGCTAGAGTCATGGCTCAAGTGGTAGAGTACCTGTGCAGAAAATACAAGGCTCCACGTCAAAACCATAATGTTTACCAGACAAGAAGCTGAGCTGAATTTTAAACCGATGTTCCAAAGAACAATGAAGATTCATCCTCACCTCACTATACAAAGCTAAAAGAACCAGCCAGTGACAGCACACATTAAAAAAAAAAAGATATTCATGGGTAAATCTCCTTTACAACATAAATGTAAAAGCCTACATGAAATGCTGGCACACTTCAGCCGCAGATGCATTCTATCATGACGTAGCTTTAATGCCAGGAAATCAAGGATGGTTTTAACACTAAAGGGCCTACGAGTGCATTTCATCACATACAGAGATGAAAGGAAATGAAATCACACAGTCTTCTAGGTGGAGGTACTGATAAGATTCAACGTCTGTCCAAGCTCTTAAAGTATATACAGAAAGTCTTATAATAACTAGGAATGTGAAGAATATTTTTCACCTGGTCACTGCTATCTAGGACAGTATTCAACCGTAAAGCACTTAAAAATAATCCTCTTTAAAATCAAGGAAAAAGATAAGGAAGTCCACTCGCATTCAAAGGGAAATGCTAATTAGTTACAGGGGCCTGTTGTCCCACAGGGCTCTCTGAGGAGAGATGGAAGAGTTCGCTACTAGTACTGTTTTAGAACTTGTAGACTTTTGAAAGTCTGGCGTTTTCTTGTGTTGGCAACACCCACAAACACACCTTCACATGTTCCCAAAGTGCGTGTTTTCACATCGCCTCAAGTCCTTTCATAGCCTGAAGTCCTCAGGGAGACAGGATTCTCGTCTTCGGGCTCCCAGGCAGGCCGAGGGCCACGCCTGCCCCTCACAATACTCCAGCTCCTCGGCTCCCACTGCGGAGCTCCTCACCGCCATGAACACTGCACCCCGCTTGCTGCAGACAGAGCACAGCAAGCCCTCTCCCTAAGGTCCCTTCTTATTCTTGCTCATCTTCAGTGCTGCTCACGAGCTACATTCTAAAAGCACCATGTCGGTCCTCTGTCTCCCCTTGGTTCTTCACATGGTTTGTTCTTGTGGCTTTTCCAAGTATTTCTGCGTGATGAGTCACTCTGAGCAACTGACTGGGAATGTGGGAAGAAGTCTTCTTTTGCTGTTTTGATTAACTGTGTGCTTGACCCTGGGCCACTCACTGAACCTAATCAAACAACTGTATTCATTGCTAAATAAAGATGAAACACAGCCTGGAAATATGGGTTAAAATTAGATCTTGCCACCTACTGACTCACTCTCTTACTAACTTACTCATTCAAATTAGATTTTTTTCCTGGAACATCTCTCTTTGGAGAAAATCTCCTTTGTTATTCTTGCCTAATTTTGTAATCCATTTAGATCTCTCTACCCCATTCTGTGTTGCCTCTCCATTTTCTTATTTCATCTGTAAATTTCACTTTACTGGCCACAGCACCAAGGGTGACCAGAACCTATCACAAAAATGAGGAAAAGTAGAGCTCCACAAAGCCCGTGTGCAGGTTCCTCGCTGGGTCCTGAGTCTGTGTTGTGTGAACTTGGAAAAGTCAGAGAACCTGTCTTAACCTCTGCTTTCTAATTTCTAATGGCAGCCACACACATCATCTCTAAACCGCATGATCAGCTAATAAAAATGCCAAGGTCGGCCAGTGTGGGTATTGCCTTTGAAAAGCTTTACAGCTTTACCTTAGCTGAATAATTCTACTCACTGAATTTGGGCATTGTTCATAGGTTTTAGGGGGAAATTACTGAAATTGCCATCAACTATGCAGTATGTAAATAATCAAGGTGAGGAAGACCTCACGGCAGCAAAATGCAGCTTGAAGAATGGGCAGTGCATGAGTTCAGTACCCACTGAAAGCACAGGGGTAAGACCAGCCGGCCCAGGAGCTCCCCACCACACCTCAGCCTCGAGGAGCATCCCCCACACCAGGAGTTAAAAATGTTAAACAAGTGCAGGGAAAGCCGAGGGACTGGCAGCACTCAACACGCCAACAAAGCCATGCAGAAATTCAGGGAGAAACCATCCAGACGAAAGTCTGCTTCATAGTCTTACCTCTGCTCTGTATTAAAGAGTGCAAAGATGTGTTTGCTAGACATAAAACTCTTTTCCACATCCCGGACTTTCAGGTTGTCCAAAGGAAGCATGTATTTCTTTTCCTTTTCCTGTTGCGGGCGGGGGGTGGGGAGTGGGGAGAGAAATGGGGAGAGAGAAGTTATTAATTCAAGACCAAGCCAATGACAACACATCACTGAGTGTTTGACACTTGATTACCCTGTCCTGATACCATCAAACACTATTTTGATACTAGCTACTGAGGAATACAAGTCATCTGAGATAAAAGTCTCCAGTGATTCTCAACACGTGGGTTGGAAAAATGAGGGAGGGGAAGGGGGAGAGGCCGGGAAGGGCTCAGAGAGGAGAAAACACATGGTGCTCTGTCCTCTCCCCTGGTGTGTGTCCTCTTAGATGTTTTTGAATGTTAGTTTGATATTAAGAATTTAGCCATCTGTTAATATTTAACAAAAATGTTCTGGTCCTAATTCAACGAGAAATGGCAGATGGATTTCATTTTGTATTTTATTTGCAGCCTAAGCAGTTTTGATAGCCAGTGTTGGCAGGGGAGTGGGGAGCCCAGGACCCCAGTGTGAAAATACCCCCAGAAACGGTGCGAGGGCACAGGGAATGCTCCCCTCGTCTGGTCTAGACCAAAAATGCAGATCCGGAGAAAGAACCCCCTCATAAAACCCATCAAGGCATGGAGCTCTTGCTTGGGAAAAGAATCCATTGGAATAAGACTGATAGGAATCAGAACAAGTCCTCTTTTAGCATAGCATGAACAAATCTTTAAGAACAATACGTATCCTGGAAAGGTGAGGGTTGCAAATATATTAGACTCAAAGAATTGCTGGAAGCCTTTGCTCCCAGGAAAGTGGCTCAGAGGCAATATCATCCTATGCATAAATGCTTAACAACCAGCATAATAAGAGCGAGCCAGAAATCTAGTAAATACCTACTCCAGGGCATGCTAGCACTGTGCTTGTTAAATAGCAATCCTCTGGATGAGGAAAAAAGTCGGACCGGACCCCCGAGGAGTCACAGTTATAACTTTTAATGCACAGCTCTTAATGCCTCGGGAAGTGGGCACAATACAGCATGTTTGAGATAAGCTTAGCAGTTGCTAGAACGTCCAGCCGGCCCCCTGAGCAGCTGCAGGCTAGCAGAGCTGTTCTGTGCTCCTGAGCCAGGCTGTGGTGGGGAACCATCACTGCCTGGCCATTTCCTACTCTTAGTCAGCAAACATGGCAGAGCACGTCAGGCTAGTGTAAAGAAGGCCTCATACTTGACCACAAAAAGAAGGCAGCATGGAAGAGATGACTGGAAAAGCTGGAAGAAGCTCCTTGGAGAACAAAATGGCTGTGCTGGCAGACAACATCTTTCGAGAAGAGAAAAAACAACAACAGAAACCAAATGGGAGTGGAGGAAGCCAGGGGAAGCGTGTCCAGTGTGTCCTTGTACAAAACCAGTGACGTATTCCTAAACGCAAAGGCTTGCTCAAGAGCAAGATGCATAACGTAAGCAAGTGAAGTGCCACAGTTGAGCTCAACTCACTTAAAACACAAGTCCACCTATTTTAGGGCAGCCTTCTAAAATACCAGACTCTAGACTGAATGAAAACCTATCCAATACATAATCAAATGAAAATGCTTCAGACCCAGGGAACATTTTTTTATTGGATGTTTTTCAATGCCCTAAATTTAAACAGCTGGATTGTTTGAATGCACCATCCTATTCAGTCTTTTGAAATGATGGATTTGCTTTTTAATGGGAAATCTGCATTTCATTGTAAAGATGGAACACAATGACCTTGGCTGGCTTTCTATAGAAGCAGGATCCCTTTTGTGCTGCGTTCTTTAGCATATAGTGAAGATAAAAAATCCAGTTTAGTGCATGTCAGATATTAAGCACTGGACACACACACACACACACACACACACCCATGAACATGGAAAATGCCCTCTTCATTTCCCATTTACTAAATGTCATTTCTTAAAGGCTTTTGAGGACACATTGCTAAATTATTTCATAATCACAAGTTTTGAGACTGACAAAGAAGAAGAAAAAGTATTCAGACTGATTTGTTTAATTAAAGTTCTAAGTCAAACAGAATTACACCAAGCAGCAGCAACTCGAAGCACTGAAACAATATATCATGGACAGTTCTAAAGATCTTGGTGGTTTGAAGAAAGAATGACATCCTGCTAAAGGGAAAATAAAACAAAAGAGTCCTGAATCTGAAATAGCTCAAGCAAAACAAAAGGCACAGAGCGGCAGGACAGATTCAAGAACCATGGCTTCCAAAATACAGTGTGTCTCCACATCAGCCTGAGTCAGGAACGTGCCAAATGATCTTTGTCAGTTCTATTCAATAGCCTACTAACTGCTTTCCAAAACGAGCCACCGAACAGACAGCTAGTGAGCACCATGAAGCAGGCGGACTGGCACCTGAGACGTCCATGGATGTTAAATGAAGATTTAGTACGAAACAATAAAAGCGAAGCATCTCATCAATGCTTTATGTTAGTTGTCTAGTGAAATGACAGTATTCTTGAAGGTTGGGATAACGTATTCTTAATCATGATTTCTCTCTTTTTGGTTTGCCCTGATGGATGTAGTTGCTAGAGAATTTCAACTCACACCGGCCCTTTCCCCCTCCCCGCTTCTGCCCCAGCACTGCCCCCGACGGCCCTGTTTCTGGCACTAGGCGACCGCTCCTTCTCCACTCTCACCTGAACCCTCCCGTCCATTCCTTCAGCTCACTCATGACAGCGAGATTACGTCTCATAACAACTTATTTTTCAGGCAGGGCATCGCCAAGGGCCAGCCTGGACTATGATCTGCCACCTGGGGTCACACTGTAGCTTGGATCGCCACACCTAGCTCACTGCTTATTAACTTATTGTCCTGAGCTGGCCTCAGACCTCATCCTTACAAAACAATTAGCCATGCCCGCCTGGCCGCACACAGACGTGTATTTATATGCTAAAACGTGGGCCAGCAAACCCTATTCTCAAAAAGCATGCGGCTGCGTGTTAAACTGCTTCAGCGGTTTGCTCGGCTCTTGTATGGTGTGTAATGCACTCACACCATTTCTCAGGCTAGTAAATGGCATGGTTAGAGCCAGGCCCCGTGAACACTGGCAGGGCTGTCAGAGGCCGACCACGGCTTGGCGGCCACTTCTCAGGGGACACGCCATGATCCTCGTGTTGCTCTCCCGTGTGTGTCTCCTGTGTGTGTCTCCCGTGTGTGTCTCCCGTGTGTGTCTCCCGTGTGTGTCTCCCGTGTGTGTCTCCCGTGTGTCTCCCGTGTGTGTCTCCCGTGTGTGTCTCCTGTGTGTGTCTCCCGTGTGTGTCTCCCGTGTGTGTCTCCCGTGTGTGTCTCCCGTGTGTCTCCCGTGTGTTTCCCGTGTGTGGCTCCCATGTGTGTCTCCCGTGTGTGTCTCCCATGTGTGTCTCCTGTGTGTCTCCCGTGTGTCTCCCGTGTGTGTCTTCCGTGTGTGGTTCTCCCGTGTGTGTCTCCCGTGTGTGTCTCCCGTGTGTGTCTCCCATGTCTCTCCCGTGTGTCTCCTGTGTGTCTCTCCTGTGTGTGTCTCCCGTGTGTCTCCCGTGTGTGTCTCCCGTGTGTCTCCCGTGTGTGTCTCCCGTGTGTGTCTCCCGTGTCTCTCCCGTGTGTCTCCTGTGTGTCTCTCCTGTGTGTGTCTCCCGTGTGTCTCCCGTGTGTGTCTCCCGTGTGTCTCCCGTGTGTGTCTCCCATGTGTGTCTCCCGTGTGTGTCCCGTGTGTGTCTCCCGTGTGTGTCTCCCGTGTGTGGTTCTCCCGTGTGTCTCCCGTGTGTCTTTCCCGTGTGTGTCTCCCGTGTGTCTCCCGTGTGTCTCCAGTGTGTGTCTCCCGTGTGTGTCTCCCGTGTCTCTCCCATGTGTCTCCTGTGTGTCTCTCCTGTGTGTGTCTCCCGTGTGTCTCCTGTGTGTGGCTCCCGTGTGTCTCTCCCGTGTGTCTCTCCCGTGTGTGTCTCCCGTGTGTGTCTCCCGTGTGTGTCTCCCGTGTGTCTCCCGTGTGTGTCTCCCGTGTGTGTCTCCCGTGTCTCTCCCGTGTGTCTCTCCCGTGTGTCTCCTGTGTGTCTCTCCTGTATGTGGCTCCCATGTGTGTCTCCCGTGTGTGTCTCCCGTGTGTCTCCCGTGTGTCTCCCGTGTGTGTCTCCCGTGTGTGTCTCCTGTGTGTGTCTCCCGTGTGTGTCTCCTGTGTGTCTCCCGTGTGTGGCTCCCGTGTGTCTCCCGTGTGTCTCCCGTGTGTGTCTCCCGTGTGTGTCTCTCCCGTGTGTCTCCTGTGTGTGGCTCTCCCGTGTGTGTCTCCCGTGTGTGTCTCCTGTGTGTCTCTCCCGTGTGTGGCTCCCGTGTGTGGCTCCCGTGTGTGGCTCTCCCGTGTCTCCCATGTGTGTCTCCCGTGTGTCTCCCGTGTGTGGCTCCCGTGTGTGTCTCCTGTGTGTGTCTCCCGTGTGTCTCCCGTGTGTGTCTCCCATGTGTGTCTCCCGTGTGTGTCTCCCGTGTGTGTCTCCCGTGTGTATCTCCCGTGTGTGGCTCTCCCGTGTGTCTTTCCCGTGTGTGTCTCTCCCGTGTGTTGCTCTCTCATGTGTCGCTCTCCCGTGTGCACTTGCACAGCATCTGACCTCACGCCTACTTGAGGTAGCGCAGTGACAGCCCAGGCCCCCGTGGCTGGGTGACGGCTCACCAAGCACTTGACCCAAAGATGGAGTTGTCCACGGTGGGCGACTCCTCCTCCGGGAGCTACGAATGCTTTGCCAGTGCTGTGATTTGCTTGCTGCACCAAAGATAGTGGCAACGCCATTGAGCAATGCTTTTTTCCTCACTGAGTTTACTTTTTCCCCTTGAATCATGATAATGAGACGCTCGAGAGTATTTTTTTTCCCACAGTTGTTCTTTTTCTCCCCCTTGAAAGCGGGAAAGCAAAGACATTATCCTGGATCCCAGGAAGGGATCTGGGCCCAGAAATATGTCACGGCCCATGTGTCACTGCACGCCTCCACGCTCGGACTGACTGACACATGCGCTATGGAAAGCATACATATTCATTACGTGCCTCACTCCAGCC